ATGTAAGAGGCTGAGGACACTGGTACAAGTTGTTGACAGCATGCTACTGTCTAGAACCTGCCTCTCAGTGGATCTAGAACGTCACCATCATCTGATCGCCAAGACCACCTCTGAGAGACCCATCTTGCTCATGTCAGAACAGTCCCTCTTGGTCCTTTACCCTGGACCTGACATTCTGGACTAGCTCTGTTCTTAGTTGTGGCCAAGTGTAACAAGTATACAATAAATCTGTTTCAGCTGAAGAATAAAAAAAAAACAAACCTGATTTAAAGTCTTTGTCTAGAAAACCAATGTCTGGGGTTCCTCAAGGACAGTTTCTATTGATTGCTTTTTTTCTTTCTTATATCTTTACATGCCTTGCAAATTTTTTTGTTGTTGAAAATTTGATGTTTAAAATAATATAATGCGGCAACTCTAGAAATCAGATTTCTAACCCCTCCCCAGTGTTTGCTGTTGTTGTTGCTATAGAAAAATATTCTGAACATACCTCAGGACTTGGGCCAAATCACCTTCCAGCCTGAAGCCCTTCTTTGGGAGAGTATGTAGTCACAGAGGGCTTCTTGCATGTGGGCATGAAGCTCGTTTCAGGAAAACCAACATGGATTGAGCACCCATAGTGCACTCTGATAATGATGCCTCTTCGAGGCTCCCTCAAATATCACAGGCAGGGTGAGGGCTCTGCTTCCACCCCTGAGGCTCTCCAGCCCCCAGCCTTTGGCCTTTCTCCCCACAATCACTAGAGCATGTTGAGCCTGCAGATGTCACACTCGGTGGTCCTTATCCAGCCTTTCCCATGCAACCCCAGCCCAGGGCTGGACAACCTCCCCTAGAGATCTGGCTGGGTGTCTAAAAGCAAATTAATAGTTTTTTCATCCAAGAAGGTCATGATCAGGCAAAGTAAGAATGATACCAAAGCCTGCTGTCAGCTGGAGGGATTAGTGCCCAGATGTCACCTGGGCCAATAATTAACCAGGGAGTTGGAAGGTGCCCAAAGGGAGGACGGGGAGAAAACACATGGGTCACAAAGGACTCTAGCCAAAGAAAGCTTGAGGGAGGAGCAGGAGGTCAAGGGCGGCCCTTCCCAGAGGCCCAGGCAGTGGGCACACCACCCAAGAGTCCCTTTTCCTTTCCTAGTGATCAGGGACAGCAGCGAGGCTGAGAGAGCAGGAGTCTGTCACAGGCAACTTTTGCCCAGTTCCAGACTACACAATCCTTTTGAGGGGAAGAAAAAGGAGGATGCTAAGGCCCTGGGGACACTCAACGTCTGCCAGGCTGGCACAAGCTGTGCATTTGTGCAAGAACCATCTGTTAAATGCCTACTAGAGTGTGATGTTGTGACAAGAGTGTGGGGTATGAAAACAGTCAGACCTGGCCTCAAATCCAGGCATTGCTACTTACTAGCTGCTGTGACCCCAGCTGAGTTATTAAATTCTCTAAGCCTTGGTCTCCACATCTGTAGAAGAGGATATAGCACTGAGCTTGCAGGGCTGCTGTGGGATGTAATGACACTGCATTTTTATAGGGTGCCTCACACGTACCAGGTCAGTAGTGAATAGCTTTCCATTCAGTCTTGTTGGCAGCCTTGGATAAGGAGAAGGAGCAGACCATGCCCCACCGCTTTAACCGATCCGTGGCTTTCTCCGTCTTAACCTTTCTGAAGGCCTGCAGGGTCCTGCATCCCTGGGTCAGGTCCCCAGTTGCGTATTTTCCTACCTCCACTCATACTTTATGACGAGGTATTTATTCGTGCGATTATTTGGCTGGTGTCTGTCTCCTTCACTGACATTTGTCCTCAGTATCTAACAATCAATGGGGAAATGAATGAAAGAATGAGGATGAGGCTCTGGCCTTCACGGACCTCACTAGGTGCACGCACAGGAAGACACTAAATAGCAGAATGGCTGGGGGCAGGTGTCCAGGACCTCAGAGCAGGGGCGAGGCCTCTGGACCAGAGAGGTTGGAGTTCAACCCAGAATTCTGCCCCAGCCCTCCTCTGGGAATTCACCCACCGACACCCTGACCAGCCTTCTCCACCACCCGAATCCATAACCTCTCTGACTCACAGTCACCCATTCGTGGAGCTGAGTCAGTGTAAACTTTAGACAAGGCCAGAGCGGGCAACCTGTGGGCTTTCCCGTGGTCCCACACCAGCGTCTGGTCACACAGGCAGAGCCTCTGCAGGGGAGAGAGAGTGAGCCTCTCTGTGATCCAACTGCTTTGTCATGGGCTTTCCAGGCTGGTGTGGTCCACCTTGCTCCCTCAGCAGTACCAGTGTCCAGAGCAGCAGAGCCGGGTCACCCTCCTACCCCTCCTAGAAACTGAGGAGAGAAACCAGGGGACAAAAGGGCTGCTCTGGCCTCTGCTTGGGCAGGGGAGGGGTACTCTCTAGCAAACATGGCCTCTTTTCCCCAGGGCTGCCTGCTCACTGCCCACCCCTAAATGACTTTAGTGCCTTGTGCAAGGGGTCTTTGGATGCCCACCCAGGCCCTGCCCAGACCCCAGTCCTTCCACCAACCCCTTCCTTGCCATGGCCCGCAGTCTGCATGAGGTTAACCTCGGGCTTCTTCCTGGTCGCCTCTGATTCATTTTCCTGCCTCTGGCCGGATAGCGGTTTGGGGTTTGGCTGGGCCCTTCTGCTTATATACTCCAAGCCAGAGTTCCTGACCCTGCCTGCTAACCGGCACCCGCAGCAACCCAGGGCCACTTTCCGCCCCAGTCCCCTACCTGGGCCCTCCCTTCAGCCAGAAATCCTTGAGCTACAAGATGTCCGAATCCTCCTCCCTGCAGGGAGCAGTCAGCTCTGCCACCTCCTGCTGAGAACAGCAGGGGGTGGCCCTGGCAGCCTAGTGGAGGGGACCTGTGTTTGGCCTGGGCACTGTCAGACCAGCTGGCGGGAGCTGCATCGGAACACATTTTATTTGGGGGCAGACCTTTGGAGCCCACAAGGTGCTTTTGGGTTCGTCACTTCATTTGAACTTCAGTCCAGGCATAGCTTGTTTGTACTCTTAAACTAGTTCTCCAGATGAGAAATCTGAGACTGGGAGAGGTTACTTAACGGTACAATAAGAGGCAATAGAGATTCAGGCCAAGAACCTAAGTTCTCTTGCTCCGAATGCAAAGTGAATATTGCTCTAGAGGTGTGACGCCTCCTGGGCAGCCCATGCAGCACGGGAAGCTTAGGAAAAGGCCTGCTGAGATTCTCAAGCCTTTCTGGGGCTTCTGGAAAGGCAGGTAAGGGGCAAGGATTTTTGGGGGTTTTGGTTTTTTGGCCCCCCATCCTTGGATTCTTGCTTAAAGGCTTTGGAATATACATTCCATCCACCTCAGCCCAGTGGCCAGGTGGGTTCTAAGCTTGCCCCATCTCCATCAGCAGCCAGGGAGACCCCTCTGCTGAGGACACTTCCTCTGCCTGGCCACTGAACTGTAGTTATTAGATAGTAATTCCATTGGCTAATAGCAGCAAGGTCCCCAGAAAAGGCCCCCGTTAAATCTGGTCAGAATTTGCATTATCCTGCTTCTGTTCATGATTTCAGTATTAAACTTTTGACACACAATTGTTGAGCACCTACTGTGGGCCAGATACCTTGAGCACTGGGATATAAGGAGGGATGCAGCACAGTTCCTGCCACAGTCCACAGCCTGGTGGGACAGACAGACAAATAAATAGGCTCTAAGGATAGGGGAGGAAGGAACTAAGCCTGGGTGAGCTCAGGGGCCTGTGACAGGCTGGGAAGGCTTCTCGGAAGAGGAGATTTTTTGTCCAGTTGGGCCAGGAAAAATGAATTGTGAGTTAAGTTTCTTCTAAACCTTTTCTGAGGAGCTTTTGATAGAAAGGGAAGAGCTCACTTGAGGGCAATGAGGAGGGACAGGGTGGTGGGGGTAAGGGCACAGGAAGGGGTGGCTGAGACACCTGAGCATTTAGGTCCTGGCCAAGTTTGCTTGGTGCCAGTCCTGGCCCTATAACCTCAGTCCCCTAAGTCCAGGGACCCAAGCTTTTGGGCAGTGCTGTCCGGTAGAATTTCTTCAATGAAGCAAATGTTGAATTTCTACACCGTCCAGAACGGTAGCCACGTGTGGTTACTGAGCCCTTGAAACGTGGCTAGTGCACCTGACGAACTGAATGTTTGCTTTTATTACATTTTATTTATTTAAATAGCCACCCTATCTGACAGTATGGCTCTAGAAGCTTCTTACCCTGGATCACATTGGAATCGCTTGAGACGTCTTTTAAAAATTCTGATGCCTGGTGCCTGAGCCTGACCCTTCAGACTTTGATTTTGTCGATCTAGGGTGGGGTTTGCGAATCAGCAATTTCTTGCTTTGAAACAACCAGGTGATTCTCTAGTAAGCCAGGGTTGGGAGCCCTGGTCCGAAATGTCCGACACAGCCTCAGGGATGGCGAGGCCCCTCTTGCCACAGCTTTGCCTGCGGCGTGTGTCTTGGGCTAGGCTGGGCCTTCACTTGCTCCAGCCGCGCTCGCAGCCCCCTCCCCGGGAAGGCCCCATCCCGGGCTCCTCTCCACGTCCCGTCCCGTAGGAAGGTCGGGCCCTTCTGCCCTCACAGACTGCCGAGCCCCGCTGCTTGCCCTGCTCTCCTCCGGCTGAGACGGCTCTTGTTCACCTCAGAGCCCTGCGACAGTCCCAGCTCCTCTCCCCGGACAGCAGCAGCGACAGCAGTCAGGAGCCTCGTCCTCCAGGGCTCGGGGCCGCTGGACGGAGCCCAACCAGCCGTTTTCCCAGGCTGGGCGAGGCAGGGCCGGAGCGGGCCGTGGCCAGGCCTGAGGTTTGGCCGCCTTCTGCCCGGTTTCCTACTAGACAGCTACGCAGATGGATGTGTTTGGGACAGCAATAGCACAGGCTTTGGTAACAAGTCCGAAGCTTGGAAAGAACCCTCCTTTCCCAGCATCATGGCAAAAGCTTTCTGCACCGGGCTCACCAGCCCACCCCCATTTTTGCCGCCCACACCCCAAAAACGACTTTCCCGTGACTCACGTGGCAGCTTGTGCACTTCTTTTATTATTAAATATATAAGCAGCTTCCTATTTTTTAAATAGATATTTAAATGACTTTATATAAAATAATTCACCACTTCCAAGTATAAAAACGAAATCTCACAGTACGTGAGCCAATGTTCCCTCTCGGCCGTCTCAGCGAACAGAGGAGCTTCCTGTGCAGGTACCTAGGGAGACATCGGGCTCCCCTGCTCTGACGTCACCAAGTGCCCACAGAGAGCTTCTGCAATGGGTTGGCTTTGCTTTTTTGACCTTTAAAATACTATGCTTAAGGTAGAGGGGTTGGGGAGGAATGCCTTTTTTGTGTTTTTTTCTTCCATTTTCAAATATGTGTTTTCTAGCATCGAATATAGTCTGTGACTGGAAGGATGAGCCCCACAGGAAAGTCTCCACCGCCCTTCCCTCAGCTGCCAGCGTCAGGACAGGGAAGGTGGCGCCAGCAGACCCTCGCCTTCTTGGGCAGGAGGTGAAAAGGTCACGGGAAGGCCCGGGAGGCAGGAGAGCAGGCACACAGCAGCACAAAGGGACAAGGGGCAACTGACAGCCCTGTCACCCATTACCCAGGCCAAGGGCTGGCCCAGGAAGTGGAGGCCCTCAGCGCAGTTGGAAGCCGAAGCCTGGACCTCTTGGCGGCTCTCCCACCCCGGCTTGCCTGGTCGGAGGAGGTGGTAGTGGGGCACGGGGATGAGGTGGAGTGTATCGCTGCCCACCGGGCTCACGGGGAAAGAAGGGCAAGAAGAGGATGGGAGCTGGGTGCCACGCAGGTGGGCTGGGGTGCAGCCTAGCCCAAGGCTCCTGACAGGGACAACCTGCTCAGCCCCAGGGGCCTGCTGGCAGCAGAGAAAGGAGACTGGGCTGGGGGTCTGGGGTGCAGACATCTCCCCAACCTCAGGGGCATACCCATATTTCAAAGACCCATTTTCAGTCAGAGCTCATCCTGCAGCCTCTTGCCTCTGCCCTCCCCTCCCGTGTCCCCGACTAGTACTTCCCTCCTGGGAATGTCAAAGTGCAAGATGCAGAAACCTGGGCGAACAACACAGCCTAAAGACCGGCTCTGGCTGGCAGCCTGGGCAGTTTTCCCACCCTGCTCCACCCCGGGAGTCGAAGGCCAGGTCAGGAGAAGGGCAGGGCTGAGGGTTCCCTCAGTCGACAGGTGAGGCCAGCTCAGTGCCAGAAGCTGGGGAGAGGCTGGAGGGAGGCAGACGGACGGATGTTCATTCTCGGCATGGACGGGGCAGGCTGTTCAGCAGGCAGGTTCAGTGTTCACAGTGCAATGGCTTCCTTCAAGAGGGCAGCCCCTCAGAGAGCTCTGGCAGGGGCTGGAGGGAAAGAGGGGCGGAGGCCAGAGCTTGGTCCTCCTCTTGGCATCACGGGCAGGTCAGGCAGGTCCGGTAACCGGCAGAGGGCACTTAGGTGAGCAGAGGGTGTAGACCTCCTTCCAGCTGTCATTGCAGATCGAGGCCCAAAGGCGTCCTCTTCTCATCGCTTGGGCTGCACACACGCCTTTACGGGAAATCAGGCCGACGCTGTCCCGCCCTGCAAACCCCAGGCTCCTCTCTCTGGAGACAGGTCCCTGCCTGTCCGTGCTGGGATCCCGCGGCACCAGGCGGGCCCTCTGGCTGCAGGGCTCTTCCACTCCTCAGCGCCCACCCTGCTCTCCCACGTGCTACAGACCGCGGGTCCCTGGCCCAGGAGCTGGTGTGGAGGGAGTGAGAGGAGGGTGCAGCCCCTGAAGGGAGAGGGTCCTGAGCCGGGCTTGCCAGCCTTCCTCAAGCGCACGGGGGCCTCCAGGGCCCACAATAAATAGTGGCAGCGTGGGGGCCATCCTCTGGCCCTCTTTCAGTCAGTCAAGGGTCTGAGGGTGGAGGCGGAGGGACCCGCCTGGCTGCTCGGGTCCAGTCCTGGCAGGCAGGAGCTCTGGTGGCGGGCAGACCACATTCCAGGAGGATGTCTGGGGAGGGGTGGTGGCGGACGCCCCCATAATGTCTCCTCTCGTGGAGAGACTGTCCTGTGTGCCCAGCTGTAGGGGAGAGAAGGAAAGGCTGTCAGCTGAGTGGGAAGGCAGTGGGGGTCACTGAGGACACGGCCTGGGAGGTGAGCGTTCCTGTGGGCTGCCGGCGGCGCTGCAGGCAGGACTTCCTCTCATCCCTTCCCTCGCCTTCCCAGCCACCCCAGACACCACAGAGGGACAAGGAGGCTTTCCCTGGCACCGGCCCAAGCCTCTGGCCAGACTGGCCTCACCTCCCACCTCCTCCTAGGGAAGCAGGGACTCAGCAGGAGGTAATGGGGCCTGGTGGAGGTCTGAGCAGGGCTGGGGAGGGGTCGCTGCCCAAGCAGAGGGTCTGACAGGGAGGGAAGGGGGCACTTGAGTGTCCTTTAGACCCCTCCTCAGGCAAGACCTTCTCACTGGCCTTGGTCCAGTGGACGAAGAGTGACTCCTGCTAACCCTAGCATAGAATTTTTCATTTCCACCTTCACACCGCTCATCAAAGAGGGTCATCACAGAGATATTCAAGACTGCAGGCAGAGATAACTGAGGAGGAAGAACTTGGGCTGGAGAGGAAAAGTCTAGAGGCAGTGCTGGGACAAGGAAACTCCCACTCTGCCATTTGGCATGCTAACCCCTAAGCAACCCAGCCTCCTCCTGGATGGGCCAAGGGAGCTGCCCCCTGCATCATCCATGGGAGTCAGGGCCCTGCCCTCTACCCCACCCCCATCCTTGTCCCCTTGCCCAGCATCCTCAGGACGCTTTGTTCCCACAGCTGAAATCCCCTGGACTCCAGCCAATGGTTTGACTCTGGACCCTGTGTGGAGCCTCCCTCCCTAATGTCCATAGGCCCTACTGGCAAAGGCTGTCACGGGTCAGGAGGGAAGATGGGACCACAGCCTCTGGCTCCCAGCCCATTCCCATGCTCTGGAGGGGAAAGAAGGGGAACCATAAACTGGACACTGGCCATGCCGGGTACAGCCAGGCCGCAGACCCTGCCAGGGCCCAGGAGGGAGGAAAGACCAAGTGGGCAAGTTCCTGCCCGCTGCCCCGATCTCCTAGTTCTTGGGGTTGCGGTGCTGGTATCTTGAGTTTCCTGTGGCTCTGAGTCCCTCTCTCAGTCTCGGCCTCTGTGTTGCCCTCTCTCATTTCTCTCATCAGAGCAACAGTCTAGGGGCTGACACTCAGTCTCCCAGGGGGTCCGGGGGCCTGGCCTGGGCACCACCTTAGGACTGGACCCACTGGACCAAGTGGGTCCCTCTCCAAGTGGACTCTTGAGGGGAGGAAGAGGAAAGCTCAGGATGGGCCTGAGAACAGCCAAGCGAGGAAAGGGGAGTGGGAGTGCAGAGGGACGGGGCAGAGGGATGCCGAGACCACAGTGGTAGGCGGTGGGTGGTGGGCGGGGGCCTGGTGATCAGGGAGAGGGTGGCACAGCACTGAGCCACTGGTCCTGAGGGGGTCTGGGCCATGTCACCGCCCTGCCATGCCCCAGCTGACCCACTCACCCATCGTAGCCCACCCTATGACAGGATGACCCCATGATTCCTGATGTGCTCTCACTGCTAGCCTTTTCCCAGATAGGTTGCCCTGGTCTTGGGCATTTGCCAAATCCCGTCTCTCTAGGAGGGGCCCAGACCTGTCACTCCACACATGGGAAGGCCCTAAGGCGCTCACTTGCATTTGGGAAGGGGTGTGACTGGAAACTTGAATGGGCCAGGCCAGTTAGTTGGCCAACAAGTCAATCAGCAAATCAGTCAGGCAATCCGCCAGCTAGTCATTTAGCAGTCAGCTCACCAGTCCACAAGCAGCCAGTGAGGCAGCTACCAGCTAGTCGGTTTGTTAGTCAGAGTCACACAAACAGCTGGTCAGCTAGTCAGTCGGTTGATTAGTTAGCTGGTTAATTGGTCAGCCAGAGGCTGGTCAGTTAGAGACAGCTGGCCAGGGAGAGTTGGTGAGTCAGCCCTAAGCCAGTCAGTCAACATTTATTGAATTTTTGGCAAGTCTGGAGAGGCCCTCTCTGTAGAGGAACCCAGGATGGAAAAAGAAAAGCAAAAAGTGGGAGACAGTCCCTGCCCTCGAGGGGCTTACAATCTTCTTAGGGGTGTGGAATGTACATGTACATATAAAATAAGATTTAAAAATATATAAAAACAACATCCAAATAAGTGCAAATCAATATAGTATTAAGCAAATACAAAAGAGCAGAAAGGGCATGAACTAAAGGAGCAGCCAGAGGGCCATGGAGAAATCAGGAAGGCTTCTTCATGGGCTCATTGTGGGCCTGCAGGGGAGGGAGGAGGGCATGGGCCAGCCAGGGTGGGGCGCTGGGGCGAGGAGAAGTAAGGGTCACATCTTGTCAACAGTGTGGGCAAGGACAACAGAAGGCACTCATCAGTGTGCAGGAGACACCGTTGTGAGGGCCACGAGGATGACAGGGTAGGATTTAAAACAACTCCAATAGGCTCTGGTGATGGGCAGAGATCAACAAGGTGGTTTTAACAAGGTGAATATAAACTCCTGCACTTTGGTTAAAAAAGTTAAGTTGTCCAAATACAGGCTAGAGAAGGTCTGGCTTGACAGAGGTTTTGGGAAATGGAACTAGGGGTTTTAACAGACCGCAGGCTCAACATATGACAACAGTATGATGCGATTGTTAAAAAAACTAATGCAATCTCTCAATCTGCACGATAGAAGAATACTGTCCAGATCAAGGAAGGTAACAGTCCCACTGTACTCTGAGCTGGTCAGACAACATCTGGAGTACTGTGTCCAGGGCTGGGCGCCACATTTTCAGAGGGACATTGACAAACGAGTGTGTCCAGGATGGTGAGGGGTCTGAAAACCATATCATATAAGGAATGTTTGAGGGGCTTGGCCACATTTAGCTTAGAGAATTCTTAAAGGGGGCATGGACAACTGACTTTAAATATCTGAGGGCTCGCATGAGACCAAGGAGCTGGCCCGGAGCTGGGAGAGCGTGATAGGAAGCCGGCTGGCTCCCTGTCAGGGAGGAGGAGGGGGTCGCCCCTGTGGGGTGGGATGTGGACCAAATGACCTCTGAGAGCCCTTCCAAGACTAAGGTGCTCTAGCACTATGACTCTAAAAGCAGGGAGGCAGGAACCACCTTGGCTGGGGAACAAGTGGGGGAGCAATCTGGCAGGCAGCTGCTATTGGAGGGGCTCGGACGCCAAGCTAAGAAGGCTGGGTGTGAAGTGGCTGCAAAGCTACTGAAAATCCCCCAGGAGGGTAAAGGCCTTATAAAAGCCACATCTGAGGAAGAGGATTTTGGCTGCTCTGGGATCGAAGGTGGCAACAAGATAAGAAACCGAATGCAGAGGTAGTAGTTCCTGGCCTCAGCTGGGGTGGAGGGAACAGAAGGGCAGGGGGAGGCCCGAGGACCCAGAAAGGAGAGGGTTGGCTGGACCTGGTGACACAGGGACAGGGAGCAGGAGGGGAGGGAGTCGAGCGTGGGGGCCTCAGGGAAGGTGGTGTCACTAACAGGTGGGGGTGATTGGAAAAGGGTGCAGCTCATTTTAAGGGGTGGAGAGAGACCAAAACCAGAATCTTACCTTAGAATTCCCTCTACACTGGTAGTTCCGCCTGTCTGTCCTCATCCTGGGTGAGGGGACTGTAGGCAGAACACAGGGCCGGCATTAGATGTCAGCAGGAGGAGGGGAGTGAGGGACCCCTAAGTTTACCCCCAAGCCCTGCAAATACTTTGGACCTCTCAGATTGAGAAGACCCAGAACACCTAACTCTAGGAAGAAATCAAGAAAAAGCCCAGATACCTAGGAAAGAGGAGAGGCCCTTCCTCCTCTCCAGCCCCATTTCCTCAGAGCAAGTGGGAGAAAGCGCCTCCCCCAAACCGATCTAGAGAGGAAAGAGATCCCACGCCACACCCCCAGGGTCTCCGAGAGCCCCACCCCAAGCTCTCACCTGCCCTCTGGCTGCTCCATGGGAGAATCCACCGTCTGAGGCTCTTGATGGCTCTGGGGACAGGAAAGAGCAGCTCACTGAGGGGAGGGTGGGGGCATGGCGGTCCCATCCCCAGGCAGGGCTGCCAGGTATGAATGAGAGAGGTGCAAGAGTCCCCCCAGCGACCCAGAAGTGGGCACCAGCCAGAGGCCTGGGGGAGACGCTGAGGCCCCCCTGCTGACCATGCCCCTCTCCTCCCCCGCCCCCACGCAGCCTGTCCCCTGCAGGCCCTCACGCCTCAGGCCCTGCAGAGCTCCCTGCGTGCACCCTGCCTGACACACTCGCACAGCATTGCTCTCCTCCTCTGTCCCCCTCCCATTTGGTTGTCCTCTTGCTGTCAGCCCGAGAATATTCTCTCCCACTCTCTTCTGCTCCGTCCCTTCCCAGTGACCTCGCCGCCTGGGCCTTCTGATTCTGGAAGCAACTCTCCATTTCAGCTTCCCATGCTCCGCCTCAGGCAGCCCCTGTCTCGCAGCATCTAAAGAACCCAGGCCAAGCCCTGGCTGTCCCCCGACCTGCACCATGCCAGGCTCTGCCCCTGCCCCTACCAGGTGCCCTCCTCTCCCTTGCTGGGCTCTTCTTACCCGCCGCCTCCGCCTGTAGAACAGGAGGCCGCCAACAGCCAGCAAGACCAGGATGATGCCGGGCACCAGCAGGCGGAAGGCAAACCCGCGGAGCTGGGGACTGGGGGATCCCACGGGCTGCCTCTCATGGCCTGTGTCAGTCAAAGGAACGGAGTTAAAATGGGCAGGGGGCTGGGCCGCCCCCTCACTTGCTCCTGCTCCTTCCAGCTCTGTGGGGCTCCTCCGGTCCCTGGTGCTCCTCCTGCCCTCCAGGCCCCCGCGGGCCAGCACGCTGTTCCAGGAGCGGGTTCCGGGAAGCCTTGGCTGAGTGGGGAGCGTGGGGGGGCCGCTGAGGCCTTGGGGGTGCAGCGCTGAGGTCCTGGGAGAGCTCGGCTCCTGGGGGTCTCCGGGCAGGGCAGACGAGCCATCTGTCTTCTCAGGGGTGGGGTTCCAGGCCTGGCCATTGTGCCGCACAGGGCCAGTTACATCTGCTGGCTGTGGGTCCTTTGCGGATGCAGGGAGTGGAGAAGGCGCTGAGAGGAGGTCGCGGGGTCTGGCGGTCTCTGCCTGAACGCTGCCCCCTTCTGGCCTGGAGGGGGAAAGTGCTGGCCCTTGGGGTACAAGACCCTCACTATCCTCTCCAGAGGCCTCTTCTAGGGCCCAGTTAGTGCCCAACACAGAGTCCAGAACGTCCTCCATCCCAGGGGTGGGGCCCCCAGCAGAGGGCCCAGGCCGTGGTGAACCACCAGTGTTGCTGTCCTGGACACCTGGGGTCTCTGGCGACTCAAGGCTCTGGCAGGTGCTCCTGGGTGGTCTCTGCTTGGCACTGCCTGGGTCCACTGTGCGAACGGGCTGCTCATTGGGCGAGAGGGAGCTGCCCTCTGTCCCCTCAGAGTCAGCCCAGGTCAAGCCAGCCATAGGGGCCATGGAGGGGGCGAGGGGCTGGTGGGGGGAGACAGAGGCCAGGTCACTGCTAGGGGTGGCTTTGGGGTACAGGCAGTTGCAATCAGGCTTGGTCACCACATCTGAAAGAACGACAGAGAGAGGGCGAGAGAAAGACGGGGGAGATAGAGTCACCAGCCTCCAGCACAGCTTTCCCAGAGGGGGCTGAGGGGGATATGAGTCTGGGGTCCCCTCATCTCCTAAGTCAGCCCTGGGACTGAGAAGAGGACAGGACTGGAGCGGATGCTCATGACACAGGGTTCAGGCAGGGAGGGAGCAATACGCAGGGTCTCACGGGCAGAGAGCAAAGAGCAGGGTTCGGATGCACACTGGGGTGGGTGAGGAAGACAGAGAGCAGCCTGGGCGAGGTTCCGGCCGGCCAGGGGCCAGGCCAGGAGAGGGAGCAGTGGCCTCTCAGCTAACACAAGAGACTCCCAAGCCCCAAAGACACTGGTTTCGTGCACGGCCAGGAGCCACACAGCCACAGCCGCAGGCAGGAACAGGCTGGGGCTGGAACACGGCCAAGGCTTGGGGCCTTGGGAATGAGAAGCAGTGAGACTGGACTTGGCCATTTGCAGTTGCAGGACCTCAGCCCCTGCCTTGGCGAGCAAGGTTGAATGTAGGAGGGCACATGTGGCACAGGACGCAGAGACGAGGACACGCAGTGTACACATGTATGCAGCTGAGCCAGCACTGGGAGTTTCAATGATGCTCAGACTTCAAATCCAGCCTTGTCCTTTGAGGGGAAACCCAAGGCATCCTGGGGGCTTCTGAAGCCAGGGTATCCTGGTGATTCGCAGCAGGGCTCCTGGAGCAACGGCCCTGACTCCCAGATGGACATCTGCTCTCTCCGTGGCACGCCCCAAACGTTTAGTCGGCCTGTGGAGCCCGCAGGGAAGGCCTCCATGCCTACGAGGCTCCCCGAAGGGGCTCCCTTTTCCACTTCCTAATCTCACAGGCACCAGCACGACCCCTCCACATGCAGTTACACGTAGGTGTACATGCACACACATGTCAAAAAGACATGTGCCTAGGACCAGAGGTACATGAAGCCACATATGCACACAGAACAAGCATGTCCACACACACAGGAACATGAGTAGCAGCCAGGCTGCCTCCCAGGGGGTCCCCCCAGCTCCATATTTCACCTCCCGATCCCCCGTCCCTTACACCCTCCTCCCACCACCCACTCGCTGGCCCCTTTGGTGCTTACCTTGGTCGGAGCATTTAGCAAAGTTGTTGCTGCAGTTCTTGCTGAAAATATTCCAGTCCTTTTTAAGGAGATTCTTTGTTTCATTAAAAACATTCTTGATCTTCTCCAGCAACTGGAGAGGTGTCTCATAGAAAGTTCGGACACAGGCCTGGAAGCAGAGCAGGGCCCCTTTGGTGAGCATGACCATTGGCCCCATGTCATCTCATTTATCAAGTTCCCTTGTCCTTTGTCACATCTCTCTTCTTTTTCCCTTTTGTTTCTTCCCTCCCCTCTCCTCTGATTTGCGGCCGACTCAGTCCTGAGGTTGTGAGATATGTCATTTATTCACGGAACCGCGCAACAGATATTTATGTGCCAGGCATCTGGTAAGTACCTGAGAATTGTGCAATGGACAAGAAAGAGGTGGTTCCTGGCCCCACTGGACATTGACACTAAGCACATTGTCACCAGTGCAGGGGGTCCTCTGAAGAAGTACTGAACCATCTCATGGGGCACAACAAAGGGAGCTAAATGAGGGTTCAGGGAGAATTTCTCTAAGGAACCGACTGAAAGATGAGCAAGAGTTAGCCAGGAAAGGAGGTGGGATTGGAGAGAGCTGTCCAGGAAGCAAGAACAGACCATGATGTTCCTGAGGCAGAAAAGGGCATGAGATGTCAAAAGACAAAACGGAGGCTGGAGCAGCTGCAGGACCACCTTCTAGGAGGCAAGTGGCGAGAGATGCAACTGGAGAGAGGTCAGCACCGGCCAAGTCCTGCGGGACCTTGAGGGTCACGTCAAGAACTTTTAATTTTATCCATAAAGCAAAAGGGTAACACCCGAAGGGTTGATGGGGAGGTGGGTGGTGGCACAAAACTCGAATTTAGAAAAATCACCTTGCTGTGGTGTAGAGAATGGAACGGGGCAGGCCGCAGGGGCTGAGGGACCTTCGCTGGCACTGATGTGTCTTGGAGGGAGGGCTAAGGATGCCCCAGCCCTGTCTGCTGAGCTGCTTGTGGGCCCAGGCTCCCACCCTCTGGGGCTCTGAGAGGCTTCACCTGCCTGGGCTTCCTGCCCCCTCTCCAGTGGCTCCTTCTCAGTCTCCTTCCCCAGCTCCCCTCCTCCTCCTGATGTCCAAATGCTGCCATTCCCCAGGGCTCAGCCCCGGGCCCACCTCTCCTTTCACACCAGGCTGTGCCGTGCATGCCCATGGCTTTATCGGGGCCTACTTGCCAGTGACCCCCAAGTACCAAGTTTTTCCTTAAACTGAGCTACAGGCTTTACTAGGCCGTGAAGTCCTTGGAGGCATTGCTGCATCCCCCTGGCCTGCGCACAGTGGGCCCTTAATAAATGTTTACCAGACAAATGAATGTATGAATGAGAAGCGCTGGGCTCAGCTCCATCGCTCACCAGCAAGGTGACAGTCACCAAATGAATTATCCGGTTTGGGCTCATTTCCTCATCTGTAAATTCCAAACAATAACCCTGCCAACCTCTCCCCAGGGCTGCCGCAAGAAAGGCAAGCTGGCTCTCTCGCGCCTCTCTCCTCCATCTCCCTCAACCTCCCCTCGTGCTTCGCAGAGAAAACAGGAATCTTCAGACTTCTGCCTGTCTCAACAGGAGCCTTCCCTCCCCTCAGGAGCTCAGGAAACTCTTGCCGAGGAGGGACTGGCTCCTCTAGCCCCAGGGGCCCCACCCTCCTGGAGCCCACCCCTCAGCATCCACACCTGTTCCGTGGGGGCCTCCCCAGGCAGGTTCCAGGACCTCACACCATAATCGTGAGTGGGGCTGTTTCTAAAATGCAGATCCCCAGACCTAGCCTCAGACCCAGGGCATCAGACTCTTGGGGGGCGGGGTGTCCTGGGAATATGCATTTTAAACAAAATCCCCAAGTGATTCTTATGAACCTTAATGTTGGGAAAGCACAGATTTAATACCCCTCTTGTTGAAAATTTTTCCTCCCTAATCACACACTCTTTCTAGCAACATCTTTCTTCTTCTGCCCCCTTTTGGAGGCAAGTTCCTCCACAATGTTGTCTCCCTTCCTCCCTTCCTATCACCCCTATCTGGCACCTGTGACACGTTGCCAACTCTAATAGACAATCTGCAGCCCTTACCTTGCTTGACTTCTAACCCCATTGGACGAGTCGACTACTTTCCATCTTGGACCCCATGACCCGACTCGGCGCTCTCCCAGCTTTCCTCCCACCTTCAGGCTGCCCCTTGCCAGGTGCTCCATCCTCTGCTTGCCATCTAAATGCTGGGGTTCCTGGGCCTGCTTCTCTTCCCACGGTGGGCAGCGCTACCCAGGCCGTGGCTTCACAGACGACCACCGAGCCCACACCTCCATATCGGTGCGTTGCCAGTCACAGCCAAGACCTGCACACCCACTGCCTGCTTGACGTCTCCACCCGGCCCTTTCGCAAGCAGCTCAAGGCCCCTGTGCCCCAGGCTGGACTCCCGCTCTCCCCACGCCCGCTCTGCCCACCGAGCGTCCCCATTTCACCAGCATTGAAATACCCAGGTGCTCAAGACAAAAACTGTCCTCGCCTCTCCCCTTGCCTCAGCTCCTCACATCCCCTGCCCGTACCAAGTCCTGGCGGTCCGTCCCCTCACCCACCGGAACCCATCCACTCGCCCTCAGCTTCTCGCACCACCCTGGGCCAAGCCACCAGTATCTCCGCCCTGGACTCGTGCCTCCTGCTGGTCTCCCAGCCTCCACTCCTGTCTCCACGGTCCACGCCCCACACAGCAACCCGGACAGTCTCATGACGTGAGATCGGGCCACTTGCCTGTTCACGGCGGCTTCCCTCCCACTTAAGACAAAATCCGGCATCTTAAAGACCCCAAATGATCTGGCTCCTGCCTTCTCTCCTCTCCCTGCTTTACTTCCCATGCTTTGGCCAGGCCGACCCCCCTTTGGGTCCCTGAGTGGGTACCTTCCTGCTCACCTTAGGGCTTTTAGCGCAGCGTTCCCTGTTCCGGGACGTTCTTCTGGTCTTATGGCTTTCTAACCCTTACTCATCTTTGGAGCTCAAATTAATATTTTCTCACTCAGAAGCCTTCCTTGCCTCTGCTTCCCCACCCCCATTTCAGCTGGGGTCCCCCGTCACTCTCTCTGAGCCCTGTGCGGTTCTGGCTCATGGCTGACTCCCTCCCCTCCCTCAAGTCATCTCTTCCCTGGCTTCCTCTTCTCCAGCGCAGCTACTGCCAGCCTGCATACCGCATATTTTACCTACGTGTCTTGCTAACTGTCTCACCACTCCGACCACCCACCCCAACGTCAGCTCCACGAATGTGGGGATTTTTGTCTGTTTTGATCACAGCTGTTTCCTGGTGTCTAGAACAGCGCCTGGTACACAATAGGCACTCAATTAACTACTTGTTGATTGAATGAACAGTACCTATGGTTTGTAATTATATTTACATGTGTCATTGTATAGTTAACAACTGCCAACCTCACTTGACTATAAGCTCCATGAGGTGGGAACCATGTATTTCTTGCTCACAATGACATCGTCACGGCCCAGCACTGTGCCTCCTGCACGGTAGGTAAGGACTTGGTAAAGGTCGGTGGGACGATAAATGAATGCGAGAGCGAGTGAGCGATGATGTGAGACGAGCTCAGTAAACATATTCTGCACATACGGGCAGGGTAGCACCCCTGAGTGCCCTCTGCCCTGACTCGGTGCTCCCAGCCCCAGGATCCTCCTACCTTGTCATGCTCTTCATAATCCTTGGTGAAGCAGCTCTGCAGCCTCAAAGAGAGTTCCTGCAGCCGCACAACGGCTTTGGCACCGGAGGTGTTGTCTTTGAAGCGCATGGTGTCCTCCATTATGTCTTCCACCAAGAGAAAGGCCTTCTTAAGGTAGCACACGGGATCTTTCTGAAAAACGGGAAGCTGGAGCTTATGGCCTGGGAACCCAGGCTCTGTGCTGGGTGCCCCCCACCCCAGGCAGATGGAGGGCTGCAGCCTGCCCTGCCCCTGCCCCCGGAGCAGGGGATGCATCACTCCAGTAACAAGGAGAACGCTGCCCTTGGCTCGTCTTTCTTTCTCTCTCTTTGGGATCTATCGCTACTGGGGACGGGGCTAGAGTGAAGGAAATGTGGCTTCTGATTAGAGGATGTCTGGATTTCTGGACTGGGAGGTGTTAATCTGGATAGATGCGCATAGGGAAGGTGGGCTCCAGGGAACCCCCCTTCCTTCTTTCTTCTTCTTGGCTTGCTGTCACAATAGTCCTTTACCAGATGGCCCCTTCAAAGCCTACAGGACCTAGGGGTAGTGAAGACTACCTCATGGTCCAAAGAATAACCTTAGTGTTTCGTCTCCCTAAAGACATGGTGGTTGCCTCGAAGACAGAGACTCTGCCTAGCTCTGTGTCCCTAGCACTTGGTCCAGTAGGTTTCTAGTAAATGCTTGTTGAGGCCAAGCATGAGAGTGAGTGAATGAGTGAATGAAATACCGAGGCTATTCTTTGGATCATGAGGTGGTGTCCAGCTCTAATAGAGGTGTGTATGAGTCTCGTGTGTGAGAGCTCAGAGATGGGAGCAAGTCTGGGCATTGTGGCAGTTTTGCGTGAGACACAAAGATGAATAGATGTGGAAGGGCAGGGGCAGTTGGAAAAGAATGAAAGGCATCAGGCAGAGTTTGTGCAAAGACACAGAGGCAGGAAGGAGCAGGGAATAGGGGATGGTGGATGGGGCTGAGCGGCTGAGACTGGAGCTTGTAAACCACAGGCTAGCCAACCAGGACTTTGTCCTGGAGTGATGGGAGCCCTGACAGGTTTGGGGGAGGAAAGCAAAGGCAGCAGATCGGGGTTTCAGAAAACTCCCCCTAGTGGCAAGATGAGGTGTGCACCAGAAGCGGAAGGCCAGTTAGGAGGCTCCTGAAATTGCCTAAGCAAGGGATTGGGGAGTGAGGGTGGGAATGGAGGGGGCAGGACCTGCAGCACTTGGTGGCTGTTTGGGTGTGGGGTAGGAGGAATCTGCCTGGTGAATGGAAGTGACATCCTTAAACAAAGCATGTGACCTGGAAGAAGTATTGGTTTGCCTTAGAGCCTAGAGCCAACCTGCCCGGGTTCAAATCGGGCCTCTACCACTTACTGGCTGTGCTCCTTTAACTCTCTGTGGATCATAAACAGTATCTGTGTACCACATAGTGGTACTGTCAGGACTAAATTAGCAAAGTGCCTGGCACACGGTAAGCCCTTGATATGAACCAGGCCAGCAGAAGGGGAACAGCAGGGGACCTGAGCCCCGGACCCTGCCCGGCCCTGGATCCTGGCACCCCAGACTTGAGCATGCAGGGATCCTCACATCCTCACCCTGTCCGGCTCTGGGAGATTTACTGCTTTCATGCTCCCACATGCACGCCACCCCGGGAGGTGCTTATGGGCTGGTACAAGGGCCTTGTAAACAGCCATCACTCACCAACTGCTCCTGGTCTACAAACTCAAAGGCAATTTGGCACGAGGTCTCCATCTGACTATCAATCTGTAAAAGAGAGCAGGCTAGTGGTTGCATGACATCTATAGATCAACTGAGCTTGCGTCAGAATGGGGACCTTAGTTTCTGGGTGGATTGGGGTTTGAACTTTATCTACCTCCCCCCAACCACACCTGGAAAGACAAAGCCTGTGCCTTCCACATGCACAGGAGAGGGCTGTAGAAGAACAAGAAATCTCCTTCACCTACCACCCTATGAAATCTGGCAAATGCCAGTTTGTTATAAGAAAGAACTATCTACAGAATATAGGCTATACTCTTCCCTGGCAGGTAGTGAACACTCTGTCGTGGCAGGAATTCAAGTAGAGGCTGGACAAACTCTAGGGACTCAGAATCTGTAGGGGCTGGAGCTAGATGCCCTTAAATGCCTCTCTACCCCCCAGAGCAGTACTTCTGTGATTTAACCTCGGAGATGCTCTTGGTCTGCCTTGGATTGCTACAGCAGCTACACGCAGAAGTAGTGTAGGGGCAAGAGAGGTAGAAGGCCCAGCCTACAGGCCCCAAGCTCAGGGCCAGGGAGCTGGTCTTAGCCAGTGATGTTCCACCCTGCCTGGCTGTCCAGAAGAGTGGTAAATTCCCTCTGAGCAGGACAGCAGCCATGACAGCAACCTGATTCTGCCTGGCTGGACCATGTTTGCAATTGTTGATGACTCTGTAGCCCTGAGTAGAATGAGACACAGGCTCCTTCATGGCCCAGATGAGCAGGCTATCCCAGCCTCAAGGCATGAGCAAAAGCCAGGGAAGTGAGGGTGGAAGGCTGGGAGTTATACAAGAGCCTCCCCTCCAAATCTGGGTGGGGCTCTGATGCCAGGCTGGCGGCATATATGGGAGTCCAGGAGTTGGAGGCAACATCTGGACACAGCAGGCAGACTGGGCTGGCCTCCCAGAGGAGGTATCCTACTGAAGGACAGCAGGTCTCAGAAGCCTTTTCAGAGTCCACGGTCGACATTCCTGGGCAATCACTAACCCAGGCAAGCAGCTGGAAGCCCACCCTGTTCGCTGCATGCAGGGAAGTCAGAGAGAGCGTTAGGATTGAGGAGACCAGAGGTCCTAACCTTGGGAAGGTCAGTGAGGGTAGCATCAGGGGAGCCATGTCCTGCACATTCCTATTTCCCTGCCTGCAACCCCTCTCTTTGACCCTGCTCCCTGGCTCCTGCCTTAGTTTTCCCAGGGGAGAAAAGGTAGAATAAAGCACAGCCGCACACTCACCAGCTGCTGCAGAGACTGCAGGTGTCCGTCTCCAATCATGTGGCTACAGTGCTCTGACACCCCTTCGGTAATATTCCCGCTCACCAGGAGACAGACCAACAACAGCAGGAGGCCCAGCCATGTCTGTGACAGAGAGGGTGTCATTTCTCCCTAGCTCTCACTCTCCCCAGTTATCCCCAATGCCCTTCTGAGAGCAGAAAAACAAAGGCCTACACCTACAATGCTACGAGCTATGCCCCTCACCCCAGGATGTAGAAGTCCCTAAATCCCAGTTTCTCAGGATTTGTTAACAGCCGCAGCACAGCCTTGCTCTCCCTTGATAACAATTCAAATGTCATTTTCTCCAGGAAGCCTTCCCAGATCAACCTGAGCCAAACCTAACTACACACTGAGCTAATAATGACACAGATGGTGTGCATACCAGTCTAAGTTCTACTAATAATTACACAGGATACTCCTCAAAGGTTAGACTTGCATCTACCTGACGTCCCTGCAACATCAACACTGAGCCAAGCGCCTTCTGAGCCGCCCTCAAGTTCAAGTTCATGCACCATCTTTCAGACTACAAGCCAGAGACAGCCCAGCCTTTCCTCTCACCTGGTTCCACTCAGGTCTGGCCCTGCCACTGGAAAAAGCTTGAGACCAAAGTCAGTTTCACTGGGAACTCATCCCATGCCAGAGATCTCTTGGAGCCCTGGGTGTGTGTTTCAAAAGGAGCCCAACTGATTAATCAGAGGCACCAGTGCCAGCTCTGGGCCTGGCGAGCACCTGCCTATCAGAGCCCCAGCAGGCTCTGCATCCAGCTAGCCAGCTCTCATCGTGGCGGGGAAGTTTTCTGAGATCTCTCTCCTCTTTCAGCACCCACCTAGCCCAGTAGCTACTCAGCCCAGAGTGATGGGACTGGCTCCGGACACCCTGTCTTTCCCTTTCCTTCCTCCTTCCCTCCTCCTCACCAAGGTCCCCTTCTCCCTACCCCTGTCCCTAGATCTCCTCTTCTCCAACCAAAGGCAGAGGGACCCTTGGTTTTTCTTTCCCCCAGCTTGAGGTTGCCTCCTCAGAGCTCCTGAGCCTCTTGGAAGCTGATGCCCCCAGATTCAGGGAAATGTTGACAGGGTGGGGTGAGGGCTGACACTTTTCTGGGCTCTGGGCTTTGCCTCAGTAATCCAGATGACAAGACAAATACTGCAAATAAGTAGCACATTGGAAAAGCACAGGGACGCCATGAAAACAGCCCATAACGGCATGCTAGTTTACATGTAACTAAAAGCCCACATGCTTGCCAGCTCTTACCAGGGAGGAGAGGCAGCTCTGGATGGGCTACCTGGAAGGCTGCAGGGAGGAGAAGCTGATGGCAGGAGAGGGACAGGATGGTCCAATACTACTCAGCACAGATCTGGCCTGATCTGAGGGAGGGAGGGAGGACAGTCATGGGGGGGCACTTCAGGCTATGTCGGGCAGTGAAAGAGGTAGCTCTGGGTAGGAACAGCTGCCCAGGCTCTCAGGAGGAACCTCGGGTTCAGGACCTACTGGAGGAAACTGCGCCACACAGAAGGTGTCTCTGCCCCAGGCTGGCTGCACTGAGGCTCTGAGCCCCTGGAGTAAATGGTAAGGAGGAAACAGGCTCTGGGGAAGGGGTACTCAGGAAGACAGCCTCCTCACAGGCACTGCCAGATACTGATACTTGAGGACAGCAGGGGAGGGCAATGGCTAACTGCAAGGGCTGCCTGGCTTCTGGCAAGACTTTAGGCATCAGTGGCAGGAGGATGCAGCCACCGCATGGAAGGCTGACTTGAAGGTGGCCAAAGGGTGATAACCCTGGACCTGGGGCCCCCGTTCTGCCTCAGAGGAGGAGCTGGATGGACAGCTAAGGGTTAACACTCTAGCTTGCATCTGGCTGGGCAGGCTCTTCTCCTTCCTCCCACCCACCAGCCTCTGCCTCTGCCTGGGGAGCAGCCCTCAGAAGGAATCTCTGCTGCAGGCTCAGAGAGATGCTGGCGCACCTCAGCCCAGCTGTCCAGCCTCATCTGCCACCCATGCTGTTCCATCTTCCCCCTCAGCAAGGCTTCTGGAGAGACCTGGCAGGACCAGACCCTTGGACTGCCCCTGTCTCAACACAGCCAGCCCCCCTTTTCTTCCTGGCCTTGCCTCGTGGTCTCACCTTCAGCCCCTTAGTCTCCCTTTCCCCTCTCAAGCCAATCTGCTCTCTCTCCTTTGGGCACTTCCCCCACTGTGGATCTACTCCTCTCTCCCTCTTGCCCCACCTGCAAGCCTCTCCTCTACCCACCCCCAGCCCCCAATATTTTTCTGCTCCTTTTCCCACAGGTTTCTCCTCTCATTTTCCTCCAGGGCTCCTCAGAAGCAAAGGCATCTTGAGAGCACTCACTATCAACAGTGCCAGCCTGCACTTTCCAGGAGCTGCAGCAGCTACTGCCACAGTTGAGGCAGGGCCACCCTACCCAGCCTCTGCCCCCGTCCAAAACCTCCTTCCACCTCCCTTGACCACTGCAAAGCCAGGATCTGCCCAACTGATTGAACTAGAATTTGCAAGAATCTCTTGATTCAGAGCTAGCCCCAGGCAGCTCTGGAGACTGGTCCCCCCAAAACAGCCACCCAAGTCCCCAGCAGCTCCTGCCTGTGGACAGGAGCTGCTTGCTCCTGCTGGAACAAGTAGCAGCTTGCCCATCTCCTTCCCTTTGCCAGCAGGTTGCTCCGCACAGGTCCTGGCATTCTATAAGCTGGATGACCCCTGAACTCTCGCCACCCAGAAGCGCCCATTCCCCAGCAGGGCCTGCATATGTGGCCACTGAGGAAAGTGCCCACCAGAGAAAGCACCACACTCAGTGCATGGCCACTCTGCCCGTCCCTTGGTAGTGGCCGGTCAGAAGGGAGAGAGGCAGGGCTCCCAGGCTGACAGGGGCCTCCAACGGTGGCTGTGAACCCGTCCCTCCTGCCTGCGGGTGGCTCAGTGTTCCCCTCCGTGCAATGGGGCGAGCAGCCTTCCCTTCCCAGGGAAGCGCTGCAGCCCCAGGAGCAGCTGCCCGGCCGCCACCGGCCTCAGCCGGAGCGCCAGAGGCCCAGTCCGTGCGCAAAGGCGGTTAGCAAACCAGAGCCGTGGCCGCGGCAGCAATGCCTGAGCAGGGCGGCCGGCGCGCTCGGGCCGTCGGCTCCGAGGGGCCGCGCCGCGCCGCGCCGCCGAGCCTCCGCCCCAGCCCGGCCCGCACCCTGGGCTTACCGTGGGAGGGCAGCGCCCGGCGGCGCCCGGCGCGGTCATACGGGCAGCTGGGTCCCGGCCGGGCGCGTCGGCCGCCCTCGCTCGCTCGCTCGCTGGCCGCCGCAGAGTCGGCGCCCCGGCCCAGGGCCGCGCCGCTGTCCCGGGATGCAGAGAGCGCGGCGGCGGCGCCGAGAGGACCCAGGCAAACTTTCACTTTCCCTGGGGCCGAGCTTCACTGGCCAGCCCTCGGCACAGCCTTTTAAGCGGGCTAGCGGGGCATGTGGTTTATGGGAAATCACCCTGGACAGGCGCCAGACACACACACACACACACACACACACACACACACACACACACTCACTCGCACTGATACAGACACAGACACACACTCACTCCGCAGGCCCACTGGGCCGCCTCCCCCGCCTCCCCTCCCCCAGCCCGCCGCCGGTCGCCCCGCTCGCTCGTCGTCCCAGCCGCTGTTTTCCGCGCAAGCCTTGAGCAAAGGAACGCGGGCTCCTCCGCACCCCCACCCCGCCTTTCCCGCGCCCTCTGCGGACCGAGCCTTTCCTTCCGTGCCGATGCTGTTCCCCTCTTTCTAATACTCATCCCAAGGGACTTTCCCTCCAGGCCTGAAAATCCCCAAATCTGAGCAGGAAATGAGCCAAGAGCAGGGATAGGCGCTGGCAGGGGAGGGTAAATCCTCTGAAGACCGGGGCCTCCCGCCTTCCACGTGCCGGAGCCCCTCATCAGCAGGATTGCAGGCAGCCCCCCAGCAGCCGGCGCAGCCTCTGGTCCCATCCTGGGGGAAGGGGACAGGCAGGGAGGCCAGCTACCTGGCCGGAAGGGAGGGGCTGTGTCTCGCGACAGCAAGCTGGAGGGCTCTGCCCCATGTGCCAGGAGACACTCAGGCCTTGACCTAGGGATGATGTAAATGCTGGCTGGTACCCGTGCTCCCTCATTGGCAGCAAAACCCAGCTCGGATTGGAAAGGGCCCTGGGCCCTAGATTGCCCTGGATGCTTTTGGAAATGCATTTACTGAGATGATTAATCACATTTGTCTATACATGAAAATGAATCTAAATGAGTTCTAATAGGATGAGCCTATTAATTATAATGCCAGCTTCAAGAGATTTTTCTTTCTTTAAGTCATTATGATTCAATGTGTTTCAATCACTCTGTGAGGCTGCCCACTCCTATCCCCCGGGAAATATAGGGTATGTGGCCTGGAAGAGGCATCTCTTGTCACTAGCCCTACACATCCCTTGCTCCAGCCCCAGGCAATAATTTTACTGAATGCTTTTGCTTAGGCTCCTCTCTGCTTGGAAGGCTCCTTTCCCCACTTGGCCATAAGGCGAACTCCTCATCCTTTCAGGCTGAAATGACATCTCATCCTCCACCAGCAAAGCCTGCTGTGACTCCCCAGGCAGATCAATGGGTCCTTTTCCTGTGTTCCACCAGACTTGGGTCATTCCTCCATGGAGGCCCTGATAAGTTGTTTGTCATCCATTCATTCTCCACATTACTTTAAAAAGTGTTTAAGGTGGTATTGATGGTTAGTCTGCTCTCACCCTGGACTGAGACTTCCTGCAGGTGGCACCCGTATTCACTCACCTCTGCATCAATGGTACCCAGCACATCACAGGTACCTAGTTAATAGTGGTTGAATTGAATTGAATGAGACTGTTAGAGAATAATTTGTTCGTTTGACAAATGTGCACTGTGTCTGCTATGTGCCAGGCACTGTGCTGGACCCTGGGGACACGATGATGATCGTGGCAATGTGATCCGTGCTATTATGGGCTTGTGCACAGTTGGAAGCCAAGGAGCATGGGGTAGCGACTGGGTGCTCAGAGTCTTCAGGAAGGAAGACAGAGACAGAAGCCCAGCCAGAGGAAGGAAGTTGAGAGTTTATTTCCTCCGTGGGGAATGTTCCTTCAAGAGATCCTTGTATGATAATGGAACATGTTAACACCACACTTCCTAAAACTGATAAGTAAGAGGAAGTAATGTGAGAAAACCTGTACGTTTGTCGAGAAGAGAGTCAAATTTTACTTGCTTTTCCTTCACCGGCCCAGCCCTGCCCTATCGCAGGCTCACTCAGGCTGGTGTTAGAAGCTAGTTCTGCTTCTGGAAGACTTCATGGAGTCATCCTCCATGTCGGCGCAGGCTTGGGGTCCTCAGTCACCTCTACTGAAACTCTTCACATACACAGGTTCGAACCCGACTCCACTAATTACAAGCTATTTGACCTTGACAGCTCTGTCCAGTCATTTGCTGTGTGACTTTGGACTATCCTCTTCTCAGCCTCCGTGTCTATAAAATGGAGATGTTTGTTTCTGTCTCTCACCAAGGTATTACAAGGATTGAATGAGATAGTGCCTGTAAAGTGTTTAGCCCAGAATCCGAAGATGGTAAATGCTATCTTAAATTGTTATTATTATCTATTCACTCATGTGAGTCTCAAGCAATGACACAACAGTGGTGGCAGTGGACTTGGGAGTCCCAATGCCAGATTTTAGTCCCAGCTCTGCTACTCATTTGTGATGTGATTTTAGACAAATCCCTTAACCTTCCGAGCCCCTCTTTACTCATTTGTACAGACCTTCACCAAGGGATGGCTGTGAGGTCAAATGGGCTGACCTGTGGGAGTCTCCAGCGCAATGAACACACAGAGTAAAGGCTCGGTTATGAAAGAGCTCTTTGGAAGTGTAGGCTGTCGGCCCTGGAAAGCTCTGGCTGCGTGGAGTTGCAGAGGAATGAGCAAGGTCCTCGACAACTGTGGCCCCACAGTGGGACTTGCAGCCGTCTCATCTCCGTTACCTTAAAAGTAGTGATTGTGAGTCTACTCAACCCTAGACAAGTTTTGCCACTAGACATGGGGACGTGGAGGCTGGAAGAGCTACAGCCTGAGGCGGCTGGCCCCAGCAGTATCTCCCGTGCTCGCTCCTGCACTGGGACCAATCCTCTCCCACACCTCCCCGTCTCTACCCCCACCTGGCTGGCTGGTAGGTCCTGGCTGCATCTCAGGGCCAAGCCATCAGGGTAGTGTCGGTCTGCATGTGGCTCCTTAGTGCTCACACCCATGCACGCTGGTGTGTGCTCCTCCACAGGCAGGGGGTGATGGAACCACAGAACTATAGGACTTTTTACCCCATGTTGCCTCAGATGAAGTAATGAAGGGCCAGACAGGCTAAGCCGCCTCCTCCAGAGTCACTCATGAACTGGCAGATTCTGAGGTGGGGACCGCAGGAGCGAGTCCTGGGGTGAGAGGACTCCGGGCTGTACATGCTCACCCTGGTCAGAGTAGCGACTGTCCTCCTGCTGACTACCAGCAGAGTCATGTCCGGGGCCAGGCCCCGGGGGAGGCATAGAAGAATTTGGAACCATCTGAGATTTGGGGTTTCAATGATTTCCTAATGTAATATCATCAAGAAAACAGCGCTCAACTGACTCCGGAGGAGGGTAGAAGGGAGCATGGGAGGGACACTACTCGCCAGAGGAATGAACCAAGGGAGGGTGAAGAGAGATTGGAAAGAGGGAGATGGAGACGGATGGCGGGAAGTGGGAGGGAAGCCTCATTTGCTGGTTGTTGAAATGTCATTTCCTTGAAATTATTTGACAGGCAAATTCCCCTTGAGATCTCTTCTAGGGAATTGATTTCTATTACAAAGCGCTTGCTTGCTTTCTTCCTTTCTTCCTCTTTTCTTTCTTTCTTTTTCTTGCTCTTTCTTCCTTTCTTCCTCCCTTTATTCATGCATTCCTTCCCTCCTCCCTTCCTCCTTCTTTCTTTCCTTCCTTCTTTCCTTCTTTCCTTCCTCGTTCCTTCCTTTCTTTCCTTCCTGCTTTTTTCTTTCCTTCGTTCTTTTTTTACTTCTTTCTTTCCTTTGTTCCCCCTTTCATGCTTTGTTTCTTTCTCCCTCTTTTTTCTCCCTTTGCTTCTTTCCCCATTTGTCTTTCTTTCTCTCTTCCTTTCTTTCTCACTTCCTTCCTTTCTTCATTCTTTTCTCCTTCCTTCTTCCTTCCTTTCCTCCCTCCCTGCCTCTCTTTCTTTCTTCCACCAAGGTGGCCCATGGTTCTTTAGGAGGTGGACACAGCAGCTTTGGGAGCTTGGGGCTGCAAAGGAAATGGCGCTCTCCCGTCACAGTGCCACAGAGGTAGCCAGAATGTAGGACCCCCGAATGCCCACGTTCGGGAATGGGGCGTCAGACCCTGGTTGCCCTGTCTCACAGCCTGGTCACCTAGGTCCTTTGCCCTACAGGCTGCCCTTTCAGTCATGTCTTCGCCCACCTTCCAGGGGTAGGGACAGCATGAAGGTGGTAAAACAGCCATAACGGAGGGATCCTTGGACTGAGAGTCTCTGTCAATTAAATGGGAATGGTAGCTCCCAGCCTGCCAGCTTCCTAGGGCTGCTATGAAGACTTTGTGTTTGCTAAACTACCGAGAGCCAATATTTGATACTTTGGAAAACTACTGATGTTTGTTGAGACCATCCCATTCCCTAGCTGGTGGAAAGCCAGCTGTCCCCTTTGTCCTCATAGCCACAGAAATACCCGCTGGTCTCAGGGCTCATGCTGCCAGGAGCTTTGCCCCTGGAGGGCAGGCTCTGCTGCAAGGCCAGTCTGCACCCATGCCCGGCTGCTTTCCCTTGTCCAGGCACCGTCTCCTGGACCTGGGCCGGACCAGCTCTCTTAGGTTGCTCCCATGAACTCCTCAGAGCTGATAAATCTAATCCAGAAACTAAGAAAAAATTTATCCACAGTGACTTTTGGCTTCCTGAGTGCCCTCCCTACCCCACTAAAGTCACAAGTCCTCAGCTGACAACCCTTCTAGAATGAAAGTTACTAACCTTCGTTGGAAAAAGAGAGTCACAGAGAGGAAGATGTGTCTGCTGGTGCCCAAGCAGCACATCAAGCCTACTTCCTATCCTCCACCCTGCGTGACTTCAGAGCAAATGAGGCAGAGAACTACCTGGAAACAGGAAGTGAGACCCTATGGCATCTGCAGTCATCTGTTAATGCAATAAACATTTTTAGTGCCTGCTGCATGCTTGGCCTGTGCTTGTCTACATTCAGTTGAATTACATGCCCTCCCGTGCTCACAGACTGCCAGGGACAGACACATCAAGGGACAGTCTAACGTGAGGCAGTACGAGTAATGATGCAGAAATGTCCCAGTGCCCCAAGTGCCCAGAGTGGCTTGGTTTCTGAAGTCCCCTGAAGGAAATCAGAAACCTGAAGCAGAGAAGAGACTGGAAATTGAAGAGATCAGGTCCCAGATACAGC